GTTAGTGAATTTGTCAATTAGTCTTATACTGTAAATAGTTACTTGAAACCAAACCAGAAATAAAGTTGATGTATCTTTTCCTAATTTTTTTTTAAATTTGAAAACTGATTGATAAGTTAAAAAGGTAATACAATCAACATCCAGAAATAGACTTGAAAACAGTATTTCAGCATAACTTGGAGGTGTCCCGCATTCATGAATACTCTGACATCTGTCTGCTCAGAACAGGAGCCTCATCCTGTGTAACTGTAGTGCAGTTACCACGGCCAGGACGTGTCATATTGAGTATAGGGCTGATCCTCTCTACTTACAGATCCTGTTTGCAAATTTACGAACTCATTAAATTTACTTTTACCCTTCCATGTCGTAACTTTCAGTGCTTTTCTGGTCATTGATGGCCATTCACATGTACAGAGTGGCAAAGAATTTGAATTGCATAACTAATACATCAGTACACTTGTTCTCAGATGAGATCAAACAAGGTGCTGCTTGATACTTCTTGTTTCACCTTGAATACTGTAAGCATACTGCATCCTTTTTGTGATGTATTGAACATCACTCATTTTGCATTTTTGTGCTTTTTGTTGGTGACTTCAATGGTTAAAAGGGTCCCCAGTTATCTTGCTGAGTACCGTCTAGTCTTCCTAGGTATAAGAAACCTGGAATATACTTTATAGAGAAAATATGTTAGATGAGTTTCATTTGTTACTGTTTGTTGTCCAGTCGCTCAGTCGTGTCCAACTCTGTGACCCCATGGACTGCAGCCTGCCAGGCTCACCTGTTCTTCATTATCTCCCGTAATTCTCTCAGATTCATGTTCATTGAGTCAGTGACACTATCTCATCCTCTGCCTCCCCCTTTTCTTTTTGCCTTCAGTCTTTCTCAGCATCAAGGTCGTTTCTAATAACTCATTTCTTCACATCAAGTGGCTAACGTATTGTAGCTTCACCTTTGGCATCAGTCCTTCCAATGAATATTTAGATATGAATTATAGTACTCTTTGCCCTAAGTTCATTGTTAATGAATCAACATTATGTATTAAATAAAGTGTCTTTAAACAAACACAAACAACAGAGTTACTTATTGATTTGTTGATGAGAAGTTTGCGACCAGAGCCTCACAGAAACCTAACCCTGTATGTCCGTGGGAGCAGTTGGTAGTGGATACAACACTTGCTAAGGCAGTGTCAGGACTTCCTTGGTGGCTCAGTGGTAAAGAATCCACATGCCAGTTCAGGATATGTTCGATAACTGGGTTGGAAAGATCCCTTGGAGAAGGAAATGGCAGCCCACTCCAGTGTTTGGCCTGGGTATTCCCTTGGACAGAGGAGCCCAATGGGCTATAGTCCATGGAGTCACAAAAGAGTCAGACACAACTTATTGATTAAGAACAATGTAATCTTAGTGGTGACTTTATAGAACACAACTATCAGTAGTAATGAGAATTGCCTGTATGCTATATATATAATATATATGGTTTTGTACTGTCAACTAAAAAAATGCACATCCTAAATGTTGAGAATTGTGTTTTATTCAGTGGACATACTGAGGACTTAAGCCAGGGAGACAGCCTCTCGGATAGCTCTGAAGGGCTGTTCTGAAGAGGTGAAGGGGAGCCAGGATAAGTATAAAAGTTTCTGCAAAAGAAAAAACAACTCACAAAACTCCAGGTAATCAGAACATCAAAAGATTAATGCTAATTTTAGAAAACCCAAACATCTCAGGGTAATAAATTTAGGAAGATAAATTTTTTCTTTTCTTGAGGAAGATAATGGAATCTGGGCTTAATGCAATTGTTCCTTTGTCCTGTCCCTTAACTATCTAAGGTTCTTTTTTCCCTCCATCCTGAATCCCCTCAGGGTACACCATTGGGGGTGTCTGCAGAGACTGATGGCTTGATGACTGGCAGCCTATTTTTCGCTGTTCTAAGTTCCCCTCAGGGTTAACCATTTGGGGTGACTGCAGTGACTGTTGAATGTAACATCCTCTCTCCAGTGTTATGCAGGCATATCCTAGTATATGCCTGCCATATCTATAGTATACATAGTATCTATAGTATATTATATAGCTTCCCTTATATCTCAATTGGGAAAGAATCTGCCTGCAGTGCAGGAGACCCAGCCTTGAATCCTGCATTGGGAAGATCCCCTGGAGAAGGAAATGGCAACCCACTCCAGTATTCTTGCCTGGACAATCCCATGGACAGAGGAGCCTGGCAGGCTGTAGTCCATGGGGTCACAAGAGATGGACATGACTTATTGACTAAACCAGCATATTAAATATATATTACCATGTATCTATAGTATATTACATATATCCACACATAGTATATGTACATATGTACCTGTATATATTCAAATTTTCCCATTTGTTTTAGTAATGTTCTTTAGCACTGCCTTGCATCTCTTAATCTAGCCCCCAATGCAGCATCACACATTTCATTTAGTTGTCATATTTCCTTTGTCTGCTGTAGAATAGTTCATGCAACTTCTTGGTCTTTCATGATATTGATATGTTGTTTTATTGTTATATTGACTATCAAGTCAATATAGAATGTCCCTCCATTTGGATTTGTCCGATTGTTTCTTCATGAGTTGATTAAAAGTAAACATTTTTGCTAAGAATTCTCTATGGATGATGTTGTGGTGCATGATATTAATTTGTTCCCTGACTGGTGATGATAAATTCGATCTTTCCATTGTGAGGGTATATTTACCCTTTGTGATTTTATCTAAGGAGATTGTGTAAATACTCTTTTTCATAGCTATCTTTCATAAAGTGGTTTCAATATTCATTGATTCTTGCCTTAATCAGTTGTTATAATGTCATTACAAATAGTGTTTTTTAATTTTACCGTTTCTTCCACATTTACTAATTGACATTATTTGGTAAATATGAGCATTTCCTCAAATTGCTCCAGTTTGTTCAGTAAAACATTTTTTGTTTTTGTTCTTTTATTTATTTAAAAAAATCTTATTGGAGTATAGTTGATTTACAGTAGTATGTTAGTTTTATTCAGTAAGACATTTAAAGTGAGCTAAAGAAACTTTGTGTTTCTGTTTTGACATACTCTCCCTTTTTTTCAAGCATATTTTAAAATACAAAACCACAACAGATACTTTCATTGCGCTAAATCTCCATTGTATATACATTGTTGGGATGTACTGGAATTTATTCAGCCAGTCTCCTGTGTTTTGTTTGCTATCGTGAATGACTCAGTAAATAACTGCTTTTTAAAAAATATATATATTGTTGGATGTATATACCTTCAGAGTAAATTCTTAGAAATAGACTTGTCTGATCAAAGAGTTACTGCATATGTAGTTTTGTGAGGGATTGCTAAATGCCTTTCTATTGGTCTCGCACCATTTAGCATCCCGCCAGCTTTGTTTAAAGAGCCTGGTGTCCCCCTCCCCACCACACTCACTTATACAGTATGCTGTCAAGCTTTTCAATTTTTGCTAATCTAAAAAGTGGAAATCGGTGATCTCAGTGTAGTTTCAATTTGCATTTCCTATATGAACTTGATGCTTTTTCAAAATTTTAAGGCCCATTTGTTTATCTTTGGACTATGTTCAGATCTTTTGCCCTTTTTTTTTCCTCTCAATTTTTAAGCACTGTAGGGGGATTTGGTCTTTTATCTGCTATGTATGTTACAAATATTGCAATGTTTATTTTAAACCATACTTCTGTCACAGGAATTCTGATCTTTTAGATTATTAAGGATTTAGGTGTAGGAACTTTTTTATTCTTTACAGAAGTGGGAACTTCTGTACCATTTTATTGCTTTACTTTTATGCTTCTTTGAGATTCAGTTTGTTTTTATTTTTTCATCCTGAAAGGGAATGACTTAATAATCATTTAGGAAACAATTTCAAAAGTCAACCAAGATAGTCTTTTCATATTTACTATGAGTTTATGAATGAGTCACATATACCAAATAGGCACTGTTGCAAAACCCGTTTGTGTGCCTGCACAATGAGGCCAGACAAACCAAAATTTTAGAATTTGGAGCAGAGCAAGGTTTATTGCAAGGATCATGCAAGAAGAACAGGTAGGCTCCTGCTTAAGAGACCCAAACTCCCCATGGTTTTCAGGGAAGAAATTTTTACAAGTAGAATTTGGGGGGAGGGCTGCCAGGTGTGTAACCCCCCCTGATTGGCTGGTGGTGAGGTAACATTGTTCTAGGAATCTCCAGCCTGTGGTCCAGATGCTCAGCCTAAAGTTACCATCCTCCTTCTGGCTAGGGGCCTTAAGTTCTTGTAGAACTCAGAGATGTATATCAAACGGTCATGCACAACCCCTTCTACTCCCCTGCAAAGAACCAGAACCCATTCTACATTTCCTGTCTTCTAATTAGTAACTGAATCTGCCTTTTGGAACTCAGGGAAGGTCTAGGAGGCTGAAAGCTGTTTTCCTACAAACAAGAGACGGAAGACACTGAAAGACTTTTATGCCTGGGATGGCCTCACAGGTTCCTGCTTGGTCTCAGTCCCATTTTCTTTGATTCTCCTCAGTAATGAGAGAAACAGATATTGGAGTAGACAGGAAATAAAATTTGGATAGAGAAGTTAATCATAAACTCTGCAGAGGAACTTAGTTTTAGGGGGACTCTGTTTCAGCACTATTCCTGTTGATATACTTAATCTTCTTTACATCTCAGAGGGAAATAAAATATGTGAGATTCCGATTTTTTTTCTTCTAATTATAATATTGGGTTAGCCAAAAAGTTCATTTGGGATTTTCCATGTTACACAAAAACTTGAACAAACTTTTTAGCCAACCCAATAGCTTGGAATCAAATGGTAATTTTTTATTTGAGCTGAGAGTGTTAATGAGAATTTATTCCTGGCTAGGATTATATTAAGTTTCAATTTGAATGCTTCTTTTTAGGAAATAATAAATTGCTAAAAATTGCTCTTAGTAATTTAGTAATTAGTAATAAATTTACTCTTTAGTAATTTAGTAATAAATTACTAAAAACTCCTCTCTGTGTTTTAGGTTTTGACAACAATTCGTTCAGGGCACCGAGCAAATATATTTAGTGCAAAGTTCTTACCATGCACAAATGATAAGCAGATTGTATCCTGCTCTGGAGATGGAGTAATATTTTATACCAATGTTGAGCAAGATGCAGAAACTAACAGACAGTGCCAATTTACATGCCATTATGGAACTACCTATGAGGTACAGTATTACTATGATTTATCTATATGAGATATATATATATATACATATATAAATGTATGTGTTTTGTGTAAGTGTGTATGTATGTGTAGATAGATGTATGTATGTACATATTCATGCATAAATAAGTAAAGTTATTATTGACAAAATGTCTAGATTTCAGTTTTTGAGAAACTGTACCTTGATAGGCTTGTGAATAAAGTTAAGGAATAAGATGTGAATAATAGTAATGGGGTTTGTAATTCCTTGAGCAACTATAAGAAAACAGATATCAGACTTTAAAGATGCTTCTTTATTGTGCTATAGAGCTCTATACTAGGCTTTAATCTCATTACCACTTTCTCACTGTTTTATATGAAGTCTTTGCTGGCATGGTTATCAAAATGTCAGAAGAGATGCTAGTACACTTAGACAAAGGAATCTGATTCCTAAAGGTTATTAATATTAGCACAAGCCCTGAGCTGAATTAAAATGAGGTGAAATGAAGCTGAGACTCAGTTATATTGCTTTGGTTCAGAAAAACTGCTTACTCTTCAGAAAGCTCTTTTGTAATCTTGTCATTTCATTTTCTTTGTATCAAATGATTCATTGTTTTCTCATATGGTGCTGACATGGTATATTTTTTTCATTACTTGAATTTCAGTTCTTCTGTACCCTCATGTTATACATCCTTACAAAAATAGTATTCTGTAGCTGGATTTTTTTTTTTAATCTATTTCTCACAAATTTGGCTTTTAACTGGAGATTTCAGTCAATTTATGTTTATTGTGAGTGCTGATACATTTGGATTATTTATATATCTTATTATAAGTTTTTTATTTGAAAATATTTTGTTATTGATTTCCCCATCCTCTTTTTGACATCCTTTTGAAATTCTTGAAAGTTTGCCTTTGGCCCGTTTTGATTCTGCTATTGCAAGGAAGATAGACATCCTTATTTTACAGAGTAGTTAACAAAGTCTACAGTCAATAAGTACCTTTGCCTTTCTCCTGAGCATGTACCTTAGCTCATTATAATCTTTCCATCCCTTGTCTAATTTTATATGCTTATATTGTTCACAGTGTAGGTGTAGTCTATCTTCTTCTGAATCAAAAATATTATTATTATTTTATTAGTATTTACTCTTATTATTAGATTTACCTACATTTTTGCTTGTACTTTTGCCTTTTCTGTTACAGGTTTTCTGTATGGGATCATTTGGTACCTAAAGCACATTTTTTTATATTATTATTATACAGTTTTTTTTTAATGTATCAAATATAAGGTGCAAAGTGAAAAACAAATGTTTTTGAAGCTAGGAGAGTAAGTATGCTATTCCTAGTCAGATACAAACTTAGTTATTACACACGTACACAAATCAAAAATGACATGAAACAGGAAAAACTGAAGAACTTCTTTTGCTTTCAGAAAACAGCGAAGAAACCGAAGACAGTTCATTTTAGAAATTCAGAAAAAAAATTTTCTTTCATAGTAGCTAACATGCCTTCTTTAGGCATTAACACACTTTTTTCTGCTTGTAGCCTTAATGCATCCATATTTTTACTCTTTATGAAAGTCAAGTCTCCCAGTAAAAATGATATTTTACCACACTAATCTTTCAATTCCATCACTAAAAATGTAGTTATACACAACAATTTTCAGCCTCTTGCAGCACTCTGCATGATGGATTTTAGTCATTGGAATGACTGATTTCTCAGAAAAGCAGCATTGCCTCAACTGTGGTATGATTTGGTAGTCAGTATTCTCATTTTCTAGTAAAGATCTCATAAGCAGGAGCCTTGGGCTCCTTGTGAATTCATCGATCAAGAAAACATTTCTGAGCAGCTTCTGAGCAAACATTTCTTAGCAGGTTGATCACAGATCTGGAGTCTTCACTTTTCATAATGGCACTACCAGACACAACTCTGTTAGCTCCTGCCTCTGCACATTTATGGGTGGCGTCTGGACCTCCTCCACGGTTAACCTCAGTGTCCAAAGGTGGGAGCTGGGTCCTCAGCCAGTGAACCTTTGGCATCACATCTCTCATGAGTTTCTGCCCTACAAGCCCATGTTTCACTGTCATAACCAAGGCCGTATCTATCTGATTGATTAGCCCATGGTGTCAAATACTCAACTGTAGTTCCTGGTTTGATAGCAAGGCCAGCCTTCATTCCATTCTCTTGAATGTCTTTGGTCAAAGCTCCTGGGTTGTCAGTAGCCTCCAGATGAAAGGTATGTTGATTGGCTCCTGCTACAGCCATCGGTTTTAACCCACTGTTCGGGCCTGGACACCATCATGTGCATGTCAAAGGAAGGGTCTGGGCCTAGCTGCTTTTGGAGGCTTTCTACCACAGGGTGACCAAAGGTGATGTTGGGAACAAAGTGCCCATCTATTACATCCAGGTGCAGATAATAAGCCTCAGAGTCCAACACCTGGAGGTACTCGGCCCCTAAACTGGCCAGGTCACTGTTGTGGATGCACGGGCCAATTTTGCAGCCAGATGCCATTGTGCTAGTGCTCCAGAGCTAAAGTACATTCTTTACCAGTTCCTTTAAGTCAGAGTTTGCAGATATAAAACAATTTTAGTCCTATTTTCCTTTTATATCATTCACTTCTTCCCTTTTCATCCTTTTCTAGAAAATACCTTTTTTATGTCAGTTCTTCAGAGGTAGTCTTACTAGATACAGCTTCTAGTTTGACAGTTACTCTATTTCAGGTGATATTCCACTGTATTCTGACTTTACTTTTGAAGTTGAGCAGTCAATCAACAGTTTAATTGTGATACCTTTGTATTTAAGTTATCTCTTCCTTGACTGAATTTAATTCTGTTTTTCTTTGTGTTTTTTTTTTTTTTTTTTCCTTCATTGATGTCACAACAATGTATCGAGGTATGGATTTCCTTTTGATTTTTCTTGGAATTTATATGTTTTCTTAGTCTGAAAAATTGGAATCTTGAAAAATGAGGGAAATTTATAGATAATAAGTTTTTAGTTCTTTACCATTCTCTGTATTTTTTTTATTCTGGAATTCTGCTTAGATATATGTTAAACTTCTTATTCCATCTAGCATTAAACTTTTTTCCCCCATTGATGTACAAAGCATAAAGGAAAAGTACAAAACACTGAGAATATCTCAGTAAATTATCACAAAGTGAATTTGTTCATGTAACAGTCACAAAGATCAAGAAATATCAGGCATTAAGGACTTCCCCGAAGCTGCTTTATCCTGATTTCCATCATCTTATTTTTCTAACCACTTTAGTTTTTTTGTTTTTGAACATTATATGCAGTGACTCATATTAAATGGTCTTTTGTTTATTTTTAAATTTTATATCATTTGCTGAACAAAATCTTACCTTACATTTGTGGAACGCATCCATGTTGGGTGCCACTATAGTGTGTTTATTTTCACTGCTTTTTAGTGTTTGATTGTGTGAATAAACCACAGCTGATGGATCTGTTCTACTGCTGATGAAAATTTTAAATTTGATTTCCAATTTGAAGAACATACTTTACATGACTTTCAGTATATTTATGTTTAGAAGTAAACTTTTTCTGTCATAGGATATGTATTTGTTTATTTTAGAGATAGTGCCAAGTACTTTTCCAAACTGTAACAGCGTACGTTCCCACCAATAGCATATAATAAGAATTCCTTTTGCTCTTCATCTTTGCCAACAGTAAATATGGTTAATCTCTAATTTTAAACAGGCTTATTTAAATGCCTTTTACTGTTGTTACTGCTGAGGTTACTGCATAGTTTATTGGTTATTTAGATATACTATTTTGTCAAGTGCCTATTCAGAATTCTTTCCTGATCTTTCTATTGGGTTCTCCATTTTATTTCATTATTACTGTTGATTTATTGGAATTTGTTTTATCTTCAGCATGTGAAACTATCTCTTCCAACTCTGTGGTTGTATTTTCACTCTCCTGATTGTATCTTTTCATGAACAGAAGTTCTCTGTGTTGTCTAATGTATTGGTCTTTTTAAAAAAAAAAATTGTACATGCTTTCTGTATCCTGCTCAAAAAAATCTTTTCCTTTCTGAACGTTAGGGAGATGTTCTTCTGTTTTAGATTCTCTTTTAGAAAGATTATTGTTTTGTCTTTTGCATTTAAATTTTGATTTGCTCTTGTTCAGTTGCTAAGTCCTGTCTGACTCTTTGTGACCCCATGGACAGCAGTACACCAGGCTTGTCTGTCCTTCACTATCTTCCGGAGTTTTCTCAAAATCACTATTTCCTAAATTTTCTCAAATGGACCCCTGTCCATTGATTCAGTGATGCTATATAACCATCTCATCCTCTGCCACCCCCTTCTCATCTTGCCTTCAATCTTTCGCAGCATCAGGATGTTTTCCAGTGAGTCTGCTCTTCAGGTGGCCAAAGTATTGTAGCTTCAGCTCCAGCATCATTTCTTCCAGTGAATATTCAGGACTGGTTTCCTTTAGGACTGACTGGTTTGATCTCCTTGCATCCCAAGGGACTCTCAGAAGTCTTCTGCAGCACCACTATAGTTCTAAAGTACTCAGCATTCAATTTTTTGGTTCAACCTTCTTTAGGATCCAGCTCTCACATCCATACATGACTCCGTTAAAAACCATATTTTTGATTATATGTACCTTTGTCAGCAAACTGATCTTTGCTTTTTAATACACTGCCTAGGTTTGTCATAGCTTACCTTTCAAGGAGCAATCATCTTTTAATTTCATGGCTACAATTACTGTCCACAGTGATTTTGGAGCCCAGGAAAATGAAATCTGTTAATGTTTCTACTTTTTGCCCTTCTATTTGCCATGAAGTGATGGGACTGGATACCATAATCTTATTTAGTTTTTTGAATGTAGAGTTTAAGCCAGCTTTTTCACTCTGCTCATTTACCATCATCAAGAAGCTCTTTACTTCCTCTTCACTTTCTGATGTTAAGAGTGGCATCATCTTCGTATCTGAGGTTATTGATGTTTCTCCCGGCAATCTTGATTCCAGCTGGTGATTCATCCAGCTCAGCATTTCACATGAT